TTTTTATTTTTTACTTATTTATTTGTAATAAAGAAACTAAAAAACACTCGACGGATTTTAAAATTATTTTTCAGTTATAGGAAGCTGCATTATCAACGAGCGATATAATTAACTAGCTTTTTCCTGCGATTTCGTTCGCGTAACCGGGATATATCACTGAATTAGAATAACAGTCTATATTATTTTTATCTCATACAGCACGTATATACCAAACTTCATAGTAATTGTTTAATCCATTAAAGTGTTAAAAGGTAACAAACAAACTCATTTTCACATTTATAATATAAGTAAGGATTAAAAACATTCGAGATCACTACGAAAAATAAAATAAAGTAAGCCAAGTACCTATTAAAAATTAATGTAATAAAGCAAAATACTAATTTAACTTTCTATCTCTACCTGTTCGAAGGCGGGGCGAATTGCTAGTCATAACTATGACGTCATTATGAACATCACATAATACTCCGTGGCGCTGATGGTATTCTTCATGTGTTTTTTTTTAATGGATGAAAATGGAACGGTAACTCCGCCTGTGCTAACGGTATACGCTGGTAGAGCACCAGTGAGGCATGATAGGTGAAAATGACAGTGCAGATTAGTTACTCCATCGTGACGAATACACATGGAATACAGCACGATGGTTTTCATGGGATCCATGGTGAGGTCGACCTGATAAGGTATAGTATTAGCAATAGGACTCTACATACGTAGGTAATCTACATCATTAACAATTCGTTCCCCCCATTACGAGGACTATAGTGTATTATGTAGGTACAGTAATTTCACTGCTATATCCCACCATTAAGTACCCTTAGTAGCCTCTTACGACACCCACGGTGTCGGAATCGGTGCCGGGACCACACAGCGAAACACAGCTATGCAGTCACAGCGCCTTCACAGCAGAAACACGAGTGGGACAAAGGTGCCCAAGCAGACGACTTTTATTATTTTTAAAATTTATCTTCATTGTTATGTTCAGCATTATTCTTTATTGTACACAAACATAATGTTAAGAACAATTAATTTTAAACGTATAGTACAAAGGCGAGCTTATCTTCAATAAGAGATTTCTTTCAGAAAACCTTCTCATGCGAACGATAACAATGTCTATATATACAGACAGATGACTTTTGTACAAAGTCATATATTTTGAATGAAAGTGAGCACAGCACCTTTTATACATAGCGAAATGGTAAAAATGTTAGTGAAAAATAATGTAGTAATAAATAATTTTTTATGACAATAGCTGAACTTTCGATCTGTCGTAATAAATTCAATAAACTGTATTCATACTGAATGTATTACACTCCATTAAACCAAAATTTTTATATTTTCAATAATAATCTACAATAATTCTATATCCACAAATCCGGGTCTTACAGTGGTATATAAAAAATATACTGTTAACTATAATGTCTAATGGGGCATTTATTGACTGTTGACGATGCTGTGAACGCAGTACTCGGCGATGGCTCACATTTCACCGAGCATATTAGAATACAACGTGGCTAACATACTACCCCTATCACTCAGATTACGTTAATTTATTGGTATTTTCCGTCGCCTGAGTGCTAGTTAGAAATTAAAATTGAATCAATTTACGACTTTTGCGGTCTATAAGTTAGGTAATTAAAAAAAGAGGAAAGGAAAGACCGAGAAATAACCACAAAGGACAGATAAAGGAAACACTAGGTGTCATATCGTAGAGAGAGGTCAAAGATATGACCTGGAATAGATTTGGCTGGAAGAGAATGCAAGAATTATTTGTCCCGAAAAAAGGAAACTCTTAAATGAATAAAAAGTTGGGTATATAGATAAATTATTTATTTACCATTACAAGTGATGATGAGTCCTGACCGTTTTCGGTCACAGTGACCGCTTCGACTCCGCTATTATTAATTAATTGTCTGCTGTTGTTGGCGTTAGTGTGTTCGGATGTGACTTACATAGCTAATCTTTTTAATTAAAGTTTTTGTACATAGTCGAAATTTTCTCGTCATTAGTGTCCAAAAGAACTTAATATATAGATATTCAATATTGATACCAATATTACTCATGCCTACTGAGTTTACAATTATTACTATTATTTATTACTATTTGGATTGTAGTAACCATTCGATATAGTATAAAAATGTGTTACTAAAGTAAGATTTCCTTTTTTTTATTATACTTATAATAGCAAACAAGCTGACGGCTTATTTGACGGAAAGTAGTCACAACGTGGGTGTCACGGAATATACTGCCTTACCCGTGGTAATCCTCACCATACCTGAAGACTGTGTTGTTATGCTTCCATACCATAAGATTTCACTATCATCCTTCAAATAAAAACAACCTATAACTAACTATAACTGCTATATTAAAGAATTATTAGTAATGCAGAGGTTAGCTTCATTGCTAGCAATATACTCTATCTTGTCGACCCGGTCCCCCCGGAAACCATCGCGGTTTATTCTAGCAAATGTATCTCGATGGATCTGTTACTCTGACTTTATCTTCTTGGTTTCATCTTTTACTGGTTTCTCGTCAGTGTAATGCGTTAGTTTAGGCTGGTGTAACATACCATCTTCATTCATTAAAAAACTATAATTGTCTCTCAGCAGAAACATAAATGATACAGAAATACCCATGTATGCATGTATTGCTATCAGTATAGCAAAAAAATATATTTCAGAGCCGAAATAGATAGTCGTGAAACTATTTCGGTTCGAAATTGATTTTCGAATCCAGATAGAACATATTATCCGAAGATTTCGCAGCTTATTGGATTCGAAACGGAATAAATAAAATTGACTGATGTTTATTATGTCGTAACTTTGCAATTTCTGACAGGAAATGAGAGACGAATTGAAATTTTTGGTACAACGGCATTTGTACAGATTTGTTTTATGTACATCCAAAGATTTAAGGATAATACACGGATGAATGGAATGAGCACGGATGTAAATGGCTTCGAGGTTTCGTAGTCCATTAACGCCTATTTCCCGAATCCAAATGTGATTCTGTTACATATATTTTAAATAATCTGACTTTTATATTTGTATCATGTTACGATGGAATGGTGTAAATTTAATATATTGCAAAGGCATTATGGTTGCTGTAATTATATTGTAGAATGACTGGCTTTATCCCGTGACTTTTAGATACCTAGTTGAATTATAATATAATTAATTTTAATGGTATTACACAAATATTGCTGCACCGGATTGGATGTGGTTTTTCAGTTATATTACTGAAGGTTGAACTTAAAATCTGATATGTTTTAAGTCAGTACGCTATCTAGAAGTTATGTATTTCATTATTTTTTTCTTATGTTACAGTGTAACTTATTTAAAAAAAAAAATATGCAAAATTCACGCATATGAAGTTGCGGGTTAAAAGTAGTGTACAAATATAACATGTCAAACGATGTCACTAATGCATACAAGTTACCTTTACACTTCAACTTACCCTTACTCCTTTTTATCTAGCTGCTAACATTTGAAGGCAGACGTGCCAAAATTCAATAAATAAAAGAATATATCTGCAAAAGAACCATAGTCACATAGCTCGAAGAACTGACAATCAATAGGGGAAGAAAGGTTCTTGAGTGGCGACCCCGTACGAGCAAATGTTGGACGAGCACCCACTAGATGGAGTGATGATCTCAAATGCATTACAGAACCGTTTCTTATGGCATTATATGGGGAGGCTTATGTTCAGCAATGGAAGGATAATGGCTGAACTTATGACATGTTAAAAAATATAAATTAATTTATTTGATAGTATGTACAAGCTGTACCCCACAACTTCGATCGTAGTAGTATAGTGATGTTTCAAAATCTACAACTTTCCTCAAGAATTGACCTATGAAATGCATAAGTCATTTTTCAAATCCGACTGATAGCTTCAGAGATTAAAGCGTTCAAACAAAGAAATTCTTTTGTTTTATTACGAGTATGTTAGTAGAGATTACTGCTTGTTCGTTAGTTAGAATTAAACGTTGAAATTCGTTCTCCTGATATACAAAGCTCAATTTCCTGTATTTACGTCGACTTCATTTATTTTACTCCGCGATAAATGGCTTTTTATCTATGCACGCGAAATACTAATTCTATTTATCTTGTCGCCAATCTAGTATCCTTGAATGAAACACAGGTAACCGTTTATTATGAACTTAAGGGGGTTGTTTTATTGTCATATTATATTCACGGCCTTCTTCTGATAATACCTAATAATAGTCAATCCTCAAATGTTGACAATTGCACGCATAGACTTAGTATAATGTACTATACACTTTAGAATCCAAGGTCGCACGCATAATGATAGCGAAATTAAAATACATCCTAGTTTAGTAAAATATTATCATTATTTTTGTTTAACACAAGTAGAATTTTGTTAAACACTGTTTAGATAAACGGTGTTTTAAATATTTTTTGTATTATGACAGTATGTAGGCCGGAGCTCTGGAGTTTGGTCCTCTTGGCTCCGTTTAAAGACGAACTATGAGAATAGTCTACGATCCTAAATTTACAGGCGGTATCGAGCTAAGGGCTCGATACCACCTGTAAATTAGTTTAAGGCGAGACTTTTTTTATGAAACTTAGAATGGCAAACAAGCTGACAGCCCACCTAATAGAAAGTAGTAACCGTTGCCTACAGACATGAGCGGTACCATGGACATAACAAAGTATACTGTTTCTTCCCAATCCCAAACCCCTCAAACCGAATGCAAACACACCTATAGGACACGAATGGGACAGAGGCACCCAAGCAAATGACTTTTGTACAAAGTCTCCTTCTGGTAGGCTTTGCTTCTACATATATATTCTACCGCTTATATAACGAATCGTGTTCTAAGTAATTGTTTAAAATAATGCTTACAGTTACCTTTTATCATCACACTACTCGCAATCGACAGGAAATTCATCCTTACCTACTCCTTTTTTGAAGTCGGTAAAAATTAAAAACGAACAAATGAGTACCTTCTCCTTTTGGAAAATAAAAACAAATTCACGATCATATCGTTTTATTATTTTAAGTTAGTTGTTTCTTACTTTTAAGTTACGAAACATCTTTATTATTGTAATATTATTTACATTAAGGTACGTATTTACAATAAGATACATTTAACTCAATAAGTTACATCATAAATTTTATATTACACATTAAGATAATTATTATTTAAAAATGAGTTATAAAATAATTTTAAAAAGTAACATTCTGAGCTAAATACTATTTCAATACTACAAAGTCTGTTATTAATCCATTTAAAAACGTCCGGAAAATGTAGATGTTCATAAATAAAATAAAAAATAAATTTAAATATATTTTGTACAAACTATTTGAAAAATTTCGCTAATAGTATTATTTTATTTTAATTTTTTTCGGAATTACCTTTTTTAAAGGAATCATAAAATAGTATATGCTGTTCAGCCAGTTATGTCTGGTGCTGTGCACAAAAATTATACTCTTTATTTTGACCTACAAACAAAAATAGAATAAAGTTGTAAATTAATATTTTTGCAAACTGAACTATCACATTTTTATTAAAACATCAACTGTAGTTAATATAAAGATAAAAGTTTGTGTTTCTTTAATATATATGACCTAGTAATAATATCATATGTCCAATATATTTCGAATTACTGAGGAGACAAAAATATAAATTCCATACTGTTTTATGGGTTATAAAATTTCCGAGTCTGTCTGACGTTTCCATAACAAGGGACGGAAATTACGAGATCAGAAGATTTAAAAAGCCATTTTAATACCATCTGACTTTGTTTGAATTTAAAATTAAAAATACAGCGTTGAGGTAATTAACACAATATAATAAAATCTAATTTTCATCAAGCTAGTAAGTACTTTGTATATCCGAGCCGCTTATGAAATAAATTATTTAAAAATATACATAAAAACATACCTATAAACAAAGTTGGCAGACTCTATAATTGATGGTTATTGTTTTTAAATATATTAACAGGTAATTAATATTTGAGTAAACTTTGTTAATTTAAAATAATACTAATTAAAACTGATTCAAAGTCATTTATAAATGGACATACAATTATTAAGAATTTTGTTTCATAATAACTAATTGCATTAAGTTGGTTATAGCTATTAAGTAACATATTTAGTAAATTCTTTAAATTAAAAACAATTACCCAATTAATTTAATAATTTACATAAATATGACACAATTTATATACAAAACATATCATTTGGAATCTGAAAATCTGAATTGAATAACATCTATTTCTTTATATCTTATATAAAAGATAATATTATTGTTATTTTATTAAATCAAAATACAATGATAATGCCAAATAACAGTTATTTATTCAGATATGTAACATTTAGATGACAAATTTACAATTTAAAGTTATATTAAACTTTAACAAACAGTTATAATCTTGATAAATTTATTCATAATTTGTCGCGACTCATTTTACATTAATTTAGAATATTCACAATGTAATTAGGTTTGTTAGTTTGAAATTATTACAAATGAATAGCTTTCTATATTACCACCGTAATATGGAATATTAGATATGAAATTTTGGTTCTTCGACACTAAAGATGAGATTACTCAAAATAAAAATCTGTTATTTTACGCCGGGCAAACATCGTAATATATTTTTTTTATCCAATCGTGATAGGTCTGATCCTATGCTTATGTGGAGGCGAGTAGGAATAACTAGCCAAATTATGAATAACTAGCTATTATGAAGATAAATAGTTAAAATAATAGCTCAAAACTCTGCCATTTTGTGCGGGCCAGATAAAAGTAATAATAACTTGAACTCTGTTATGTCTGCCATGTTAGTATTTATTTGTGATCGGTCAGTTCATATAATAAATAGTCTTACTATGGCAGAAAATAAAATTGTTTTATAAAAACTATCTCTCGTGTTGAATAGTTTAGTAGATAAAATGTTTATTTGATGCTACAGTTACATTTAATTAAAGATTTTTAAAAAAAATATTTAATACAATAACAGGTTATTAGACGAAAAATAATTATGTATATTGCTGTAGTGCAAATTATTCAGAGTTTACGCATAATCATTGATTTACTCTTTCTTTAATATTGAAAATTTTAACTACCCACATTATTACAAAATAAAATTAATTTCTTTTGATTAATATTTACATAATTAAATTAACTTAATAATATAATTAAAACCCTAGCATAAGATTCGTAATACTTGCATATAATTGAACTAGATATTTTATATTGTTGACTAGAAAAGGAAGCTGACAATTAATGAAAGGAATATCTAAAAAAAAATCAATAACATTAATTTGTAATACAGATTATTTCAATTAAGCAGTGATATAAGCACATATATGTATTTTTCAATAACACCTGCTGTTCATATGTATTTTAATTTTAAATTCTGCTATTTTTGAAAAAAAGAATCATATTCAGAAAGAAACGATGAAAAGCTGAGAGAAATAAACCAGCTATACTTATGCATTTGTATGTATGAGGTTAGAAGGTAATACGTTTGTGCGCTGCTTCATACTACTATTACCATAAATACGAAAGAAATTTGGATGTTTATTACCCAATTACGTATAAATGGTTAAACAAATTTGAGTGAAACTTGATAAATACTATATACTGGATCATATTCTGAATTGTCACATAAGATTTTATCCTAATTTACTCGGATAAAACCGGAATATATGGCTAGTAACAAATAACTTATGAATTTGTTTAAAAAAATAGACATATAGTGAGAAATTACTACTATTATATGTATTAATATCACTAAGGAACATCAATGCGGATTAGGCTAAAATCGTATTATTTAAAGCTCGACAGTGTTTCACACAAATTGAGATCTGATATTTCTATTCACTGAGAGCGCGCCTAGACCAGGGTCCGAAGATGGACGCACGCGCTCCCAGGGTGCTGGCTATCTTCTAGATTTACAATACTGACACAACAGTACTTTCTTAAAAGCTTGCCTAAACACCTTATTGAAAATAGTATAGAAAATAGGATTCACCATAGAACTAGCGTACCCCAACCACAGTACGCAATCGAAAACCCACGGCGAGATTCTTCTTTCACATTCCGGACATACAGCGGGTATCATGTTCAAAATGAAAAACGGCGCCCAAAGTACAACAAATGTAAAAAACACCACACCGAGCACTTTAGTTGCTTTCTGTTCTAATCTTAATATTCGACCGTGACGTGATGAGTTTCTAGAAATTACGCTCGAGTTTCTGGAATGATGCGGTCTCGGTGTCTGCCGTTGAGGACTAGACGTTACTGGTTGCTGCGGTCGGGTTGCCGGTCTTTGAGTTCTAATATTTCTAATAGGAGTTGACAGGGTCGTTCTGGCTCCTCCAAAACTGGAGCCACGCCTAAATCGTCTAGCTTCATCCCACGTCACCATTGAAGCGTTACCACGACTTGAGCGTCTAAAATATTGACCTGACTCATCGGCTTTTAAGTTTCCGTTACGAGGATATCCATTACAACCATTTATATCGCCGCCTGAGACAATTATTACCTCTGTTGTACGTCTGGGAGGGGTAGACTCTGTTCCAAAGTAAGGGCACGTGCAAGGTGGGGGGAGAAGGAGACCATCTTCTGAACTTCGTGACTTGGAAGTTAGTGTCGTCGGTGCTAGAAGACCATCATTACTTTCGTCGTCAGAAGCGCTTCGAGGCCTATGTAATGGGGTATTTGGATCACACGTAGACGAAGGTCGCCGTCGATCTGGTAACATCGACGATGGTGAACTTGAAGATACGCTCAAAGAACCAGGCGTCAGCATACCTCCGCGTTCAGATATGTTCGTCCTGAAAATAAATATTCCCTTAGTTGGTCATCAAATAAAATTCTAACAGATATAATTAGGAAGACAAATACTGGCACACAAAACAAAGAAGCACTGACTGGGTTATTTCATTAGATATTATTGATTAAATTTCTGCTCGATCGTGCATGAAATTGGAAGGTTAATTTGAAAACGAAACAAATGCCAATGGTATACCCTCGGTACGGCGGTTTTGTTGTTGCGGAAGCTTCCAAGCCACGAGAGAGGCGCAACATCTCAGCTCCGAATTGATGTAGTGCTGTCATTGCTGACGGAGCTGGCTCGCTGTGCAACACACCACACACGTATGAGGACAACACAGTACATATACAGACAGAACACATTAGCGTCGATCATCAATATTAACAGATGTCTGGTCAAAGCATATAATAAAGTAATTACTCTGTGGTCAAAAATGGCAGACCGAATATTTTCGTCATTTCGTTTACATAATAAATTCTTATTTTGAATAAATTTGCTTTGTTTTGGCACAAAAAATTACGTTTTATAATTAATTAAGTCATAAAAATCATTGAAATGTTATTTTTTTTTATTAATGTCTAGTATATTCAGATAATAGCCATATTTGATTTTATTTTTTTTAGATAATGAAATTATCTAGTAATATTGATGACCAAAGTCGTTAGCACATATACTTAAACAGAAATTCATTAAAATGTAAAAAAAGTGTAAGTCAATAAAACGTGTAAGAATTTCAAGAAAATGAATATATTGTAGTGTTAGTATTTCTCTATTTTATATAAAATTTGAAATTAGACAAATATTTCAATTTAATATTGAATCATTATTTAAAAAAGAAATGATTTAAATTGACTTATATAAATAAGAATATAAATAATATAAATATAGAATAAAAAATGTATAGATCCCGTTTCAAAAATAAATGGAAAGAAATGACAAATTTCTGTTTTAAAATACACAGAGAGAGAAATTAAAGACACCAAAGAATAAAGGTTATATTATATACATACTTGCAACTATAAGTATAGTGTACTATGTGCATACTAACAATTATAAGTTTTAATAATCAACTTTAAAAACAAAGCATATCCTAACATTTCTATGATCATTCATTGCATAATGAAAATTTAAAACTTGTCTATTACCCCATTCATTCATGTCTTCAATTATATTTCAATTTAACACCAACAAGGAAAGAGAACGTAAAATACACTAAGTAATATATAATATAACTATACTATGACTTTAATAAACTTTACTTCTAATCGTTTAAGGCATTAACTACTAGAATACTAAATCAGTTATTATAAAAAATACTATATCTAGTTATGCAGACATGGAAAAGCAAGCTTTACTCGTAAGCGCACTACAAACTATTTTAATATTAAACTTTTATTAATTTTAATATTATATTTCATAATATACTCGTAATATACATATATTCATAAATTTTATATTAAACTTTCATTAATTTCTATGAAAAATTTTACATATTTACGCCATTTTGTCAAGAAGTAGCAATTTAATACTGTAAAATCTGAGTAAAAACTCCGCATGTGCTATATACATATATAGGGCCATGTAGCCAGAATAACTATAACGCATTGAAAAAGAAATAAGTGGATCACATAAATGATGATAAATGATCAGATGGAGACTTTGTACCAAAGTTGTTTATTTGGGCACCTCTGTCCCATTCGTGTTTCTACCCTAAAGCAGTTGTGTTTGCATGCCTGTGTTTCGGTTTGAAGGGATATAGCATTGAATTTACAAGGTACAGAGAAATAACACCTGAGTCCTCAAGAATGGTAGCGCATGGGAGGTATCATGGGCGAAATGGTATACTCTGTTATGTCCATGGTACTGCTCATGTCTATAGGTGACGGTTACCATTTTCCATCGGGTGAGCTGTCAGCTTATTTGCTATTCTAAGTTGCATAAAAAAACGATATTGCAATGATAGACCAAAATAGCTGAGTGAGGAAAAATTTAAATATAGGCTCCAATAGAGGTCGACCACCTAAAAGATGGTTAAATGACCTTCACCAACAAGTCAAGTAAATCAAGTGGATGTAAGTGGTAAGGGACAGCCAGACATAAATAGATGGACAGGAGGTCTACGTCCGAAGACGAATGTGTCAAGATCTGTTATAAGTAGTTAAATGTATATACAGTTAAATGGCAGATATTTTTTTTCTATCTAATATTATAAAGTGGAAAGATTTGTTTTTTTTTCTATTCATAATTATATAATTAAAAAAGTATTTAACCGATTTTATAAATTCTTTTCCCTATAGAAGGCTGCATTATAAACGAGTATGGTGACGCTGGAGTTAATGTATAAAAAGATAATGGTACACCCACCTACGCTAATGGTTTTTTTAATGGATGATAATGAAGTTATGGAACAAACCCCCTTCTCACATACAATTCCTCTATTACCTCTTTCAAGAAAAGGTTGCAATCACATTTTCTTTTCCTTGAGTAATATTTTTTTATTTTTCTAATTGAAATGTCAAATCTTAAATTCATTAAACTAAATTTCTAATGTCAGTAGTATATTCATTTATTTTAACATTTGTTATATAAGTAGGTAGGTATTATATGTATTTATAGTATATGTATTTATGTAATATTTTATTATGTATGTTAATATTTTATTTAACTGTATATTTGTTTATGTATTAATAGTTGTAGCACTTCAGCTGCCTGCTAACGAAATGCTTTCTTACTGTACTGGGTTGACTGGAAGAGATCTCTGTCAGAGATAAGTCCACCATTGCTCACAACATTTATAAATACATTATTTTATATGTAACTTACAAGTGCAATAAAGAATATATATGAAGTCGTAACTTCGTCTGCACTATTAGAATATGCAAGCGGGGTACTAATAAAGGATGATAGGTGAAGATGGAAACAGTTGGCCCATTGCGACAAATTCATCAAGATTAACCATAATAGTTTCCTGGCGGAACCGTGTGGAGGTCGACATGGTTGGGTTTTTATTTATTTTATTTATTCATGCTTTTGTAAATACACTTTTAATATAGATATTAGGTTATAACAAACATGTATACAGGCGGACTTATCCCTTAAAGAGAATTCTTTCAGTCAACTTTGAGAACTCGAAAGGAGAATAGGGTTTGTATATGAAGCTTAAAATATATGGTGCAAAAATAATATGATACATAATATATTAGTAGCTATATGGGATATATTGCTAGCAATGGGACTGATAGTCCCCATTATTCCACAATCTCTCCCGTACGCTAATGGTGTGCAATTGTGTTTCACCAATGGAGGATGAAGTCAGATTGTGTCGAAATCACCAGGAATTAAGCACGGGATAGATCGTGTGAAAGTCAACGTGACAGTGTATATTTATAACAATGGGGACTTGTATCCCCATTACGAACAATCCCTTGCCATCTAAAGATAGTGAATTCGGAGATGGCTCCAAATAGAGATGAATGGAAAAGAAAAATATAATACGCGGACCTCAAATGATATGGAAAAAGGGCGGGATGATGATGGCAATTTAATGTAACAAAAAAGGTCATAGTGTTCTACCTCACTTAAGAGGTCCTTCAGAATAAGAGTTGAAAAGTGCGTAAATTTTAGTCTGGTCCCAACATATACATATAAAAATCTTGTTTTTTGTCTTAACTGATTATCAATGCACAATCAAAACGACAACTTCTATCTCCAGAAAGTTCCACTTTGAATATAGGTTTATTTAATAACGCAAACATCTGTATGAAAAAAGATTTAGAATATTTCAATTTAAAGTAAAAACACGACTCTATCCATACAAAGCAGCAGGCAATAGCTAGTGAACCTATACAATAATATGCTACAATACACTACATAAGTGTAGTGTAAAACATTTTTTTTTGTGGACATAAATTAATTCACTATCAGAGACAAACAAGATTGAACGAATTGAACGTTGTAAGAGATTGTCACTTGAATGCCCTACTTTTTCACCACAATAATTGTGAATACAATATAATTGATCCATAAAATAAATAGCTACCTCAAAAGTGATAAAGTACTCCGATAAATAACAGGAGGGAAAGGTATTGTCGGTAATGGGAATCTAACAGCCCCATTACTAGCAATATACTTTATCAGGTCGATCTCCACACGATTCCCTCTAGAAAACATCGTAGTTAACTCTTGTGGAACTCGTCACTAATAGGCTTTCTTTCATTCCCATCTATCATCTCTTATTGGTGCCTATCGATATCAGTACTGGCAGGATTATCATTCCATTATCACTCTTCATAACCAATAAACACCAAGAAGTTTCGAAGACATTAAATTGAAATTATTTAAATTTAGAACGCGAAACTATTTATCCACAATAACCTATAATTCCACCTCTTACTTTAGCTGGTACAAGATATAATGAAATTTGTTTTAAATAAAAGGTGAGCAAAAATATAATACGTAGTACAATGCATCCGAATTACTGGCTCTTAGTCAGCCGCAACCTAAGGTTGCTAGTTAATAACATAATTTATTATTATTGTTATATATTTTTATTTTTCTATTTATTTGCTCATCACGTACCATAAATATTTTCTATTATATTTGTCTACAGTCGACTGGTACATAATGCTATATGGTGCCATCCACCATTTACACTACCTAGGTGTATTAAAGTTTAATATATAAATAATTATTTGTAACTTTGGCAATCTGCATTTTTCTCCCCAAAGAAAAACAATAGCTTAAATTGTCATAAAATTAATATAAGACCACAACTGAAATAAATAAACCTTATCGATTTGAATAATAATCATAATCGAGTCATAATTAGGGACGACACCATAAAGAAAAAAATACAGACGAATTGAGCCTTTTTCTTTCATCAGTCGACTTCAAAATTCTCTATTCGGTGATATTCTTTTTTTATGTTTGTTAACCCTATAACTCCGTAATTTATAAACCTATTTGATTTTTTTTTATCTGAACAAAATCGATTCAATGGTTTCGTTTTTAAATAAAAGCAACTGGTTTTTCCACAACTGAAGTCGGTTCTTTTTTGTGAAACACAATCATAAATTAAAGTTAATTAGAAACACAAAAGTCAATAATGCTTTTAAATTTATAACCAGTTGATGAAGTGTATATATATATATATATATATATATATATATATACATTACAGTCTCTCAATATGCTCACCCAGGAAAGCATCAGTACAATAATACATATGTATTCTTTATTGCACTCAGAAATACATTAATAATAACAATTACAACATTTTTAATCATTACCACGACCTAATTGTG